CTTCTATCAAAAGTTATTAAAAAAACAACGGAGTCCATTCTATTTTGGTACAGACAGTAGTTTGTCACAAACATCGAATTTACATGATTACTCAATATCTCAAGAAAGAAGCATTTGTTTTGACTGAAATTTTTAGGGTATTCTAATGATCACTAGATCTATCCGTGAGGAAAATTTCAAATCAAAATCTTATAATTTGAGTTTCCAGTGAACACCCACGAATAGGCCGAAAATTCAGTAAATCGGTCATAACTCTTGATCAATAGGCCATGGGCACGAATCCTTCTAGGTTTTTCTTAGTCTAACTGAAATATACTTATAACCAAAAGATGGAGTCAAAAGCTCGAAACCAGTTGGGGAACTTCCTCGTAAGTAATGAACAGATTTTATGTAATACCATTAGTGGTTTTCACACCGAGATGTACCATCACAATATTCGATGAAAATCATTGTCAAAAGTTGGGTCAACAAGAGTGCCCATTTCAAAAAAGAAGGGTGGATATTTTTTGAATAACTTTTGATAGAAACTAGATAGAGAGCTGCAGTTTTCACCGTTGGAAAGAGGAGATAAAAACGCATCGAATCGTATATTACTGAACTGTTACGGTTCCTGATCAGCTTTAATGGTAAATGATGTTTTCAGTCTACTGTAGGATTTTAGTTGGTTAAGGACCGTAACAGTTCTTTTATAGACCCGATATTGTAAAACTTGGGACATTTTCATGCCGAAACGTGCTCGTATTTTCGAATTTTTGCAATTTTCAACCATTTTACAAGGAAAAGAATATCAAATTCGCGATCTCCGACAAAAACTGCGTCGACTGATATATAAATCGAGATATTTCAGTTGAAAAAAGTTTTCCGAATTTTTGCCTGGGGTAACCCCCAGGGATTTTTTTGAAAAATTCTTTTCGCCAATAATATACAAATGACATGTCTATAGGTTCAGTTTTTGAGGGAGATCACGCATCTGGTATTATTTTTATGGAAATATGCATATAAAGAATGAAAATCATAAAATGCAAGTGCATTTTGGGATATAATTCAAGAGATTTCAATAATTCCATAGCCAATAATTGATGAACCGTCAATTAATTATACTCTTAAATGCAGTTTTTTAATGAGCATTAATTTGGTATATAATAGTCCGTAATATCATTTATGCTTTAAGTTGCGGAGTGGACGTAATGGTTTTGTAACACCCTGTAGTTCCTCAGTAAGGGACATGTTCAGTAAAACTACCTATTGGACGCACTAAAACGTCTAGTATAGCCTATTCTACTCAATTCTTCACGCTGAACACGAATCTGGTGTTAATTTTTGATTCTGACTAAAATCGGATGACTTCAAGCGGAATGACCGATTTCCCTGGGTGGACCAGTGCACTTTGCTGGACAAAATTAAATGACGCCCTGTTTTTTTTTCTAAATATTTTTACATGAAAAAATGCAGTTTTAAACGGGCTTTCAAATGGTTAATAGAGGATATTTCAAAATTGGATATTTTTCGTCAAAACAAGGATCATGGTCGGTCACGAATATGCTTGTCACCGTTAGTATATCGATCGTTTCGAATCCTATGAAGGTTTTAGGGATGCGAGATACATATTGTCTGATAGAGCAAATTGAGCTCTATTTTTTGGTATGACACTACTTAAACGGTCAAGCCGTTTTAATTAAAATCGACGAGAAAGAGATGTCTTGAAAAATGTGATTTTTTGGTCACTCGATCAGAGGGGCTGTCAGTGCGTGCTTCATCACGCTTCAGAGGAGCAATGGATCAGGCTGATATTTTCAGGTTTATAATCCCATAAAACGGTCTTTCTTTCTGTCGAATCAAATCCAGAATCCGTGATGGGTGTCCGGCCGGCTTTGTCGGTATGCTCAGGGACCCTCTCTTAATTGTTGATGCGCATTCAGCATAGACTACATAAACAGCAGCTACACAATTCAGCAGGAGTAATAACCAAGAGGGTAAATTTTGTACCTATTGTTTACTTCGAAAGGATATCTAAAGAGTGAGTTACAAGGATGAAACTTTTCATGGAATATCACAGCAACTATTTTAGAGTATATGGTGTAGACAGATAGATGGAATCTCGTTTCCCTTAATGGATTATAGTGAATTCCTAGAAATTCTCGTGCTTTGGATTACTTACCTTCGGAGAAAGGGGGTTGAATGAGAAGCACAGGTGGTTGTATTTGTTTAACATGTATCGCGTACAATCCATTTCCTTGATCTATATTGTCCAATACTTCAAAATAACTGCAGGGTAATAGTAAGACTTCACTTTCATCAGAAAAATGTGAATACTTCTGAATTATTTTTCCGTCCATACATTCAATTATAAACATTGTTCTGTTGCCCGATTTGCCTAGAAACAGATCTGACTGCAGTACACCTAAGGCACCTGTGCAAGATGTTAAGCCCCACCATGTGAACTTCTGTCCTTTGTCGAACTGGGCGCTTATATCACTTTTAACACCACGATATACAAGACATTTCTCGGAGGGTAGTTTCCAAAGTGCTGTTAGTATCAATTTCAAATAAGAGTAGTATGGTGTTATCTGCTCCCGCTTTTCTGAACGTAATGCTGCATTTAATTGATGATATAGGCACTGCATAGTATATAAATAGACTGCAGCTGCTTCATCTAGAGTTAAATAGCCGTCCAGCTTTTTGCAATTTTCTTTTGCAGTCCAGACATAACTTGTTAGATTGGATATCAAATGCTGTATAGGTTTAACAGCTTCTTCTAATGAGACCAATGATTTCTTTTCATAATTTTCCAACGGTCCTAGAGCTTCTTGTGGTTCATTATTCACGTCGAGGAACCGCTCGAAAGAGCACTTCTTCTCGTCATATGGATACTTTGCTGCCATGTTAAGGAGAAAATTGAAATGAAAATTGTGAAATGTGAAACGTGCTCTGCGTATAACGAAAGTAAATAAGTGTAAGTAAAACTACAGATAACAGTTTTCTTTCTTTCTTCACATTGTGTTTTCTTTATCACACCTACACTGTGAAAACAAAGAAAAGGGTAGGTAAAAATAGATAGGATGAGAAAAGATACCATAATCTATAGATTTCACTTCAGCTACAAAGATGATCGGATGGGAAAATAAGAAGTTGAAGGTATGAGGTTACCTAAAAAAAGAAAAAAAGTTGAGAAATATTTATTTCAGGATTAAGTTCAGTATTTTTTAGTATTGTACGTCGTTAATAATCAAGATGATTACCTTTATTGTGGTTGATAACGCCATTTTCGTTATCAAGGGTATTACTATATTCATTATCATCGTCACTTAATATATTGAACGCCAATGTTACTGACTCTAAAACATTATTACACGACCAATTTTCATTAATTGTTGTATTTTGCTCTGATTCATTGTTCGTTTCAAAATATTCTGGTAATTGTTTAACTAATGACTTTATAAATGCCATAGCTAACCACATAAATAGTAAATTTTCGACCGTTGAACACCATACCCTTGTCGATGGAAAATATTTTGTTGATAAATGAACAAGTTTTTCAAAGTGAACGTTTTTTTACGATATACGATTGTAATGTTTAATGAGGCGGGAAGAAGATATATCTCTAAAACTGAACAAGTAAAAAATTGATTGCTGAACGTCTAAAATAAATAAGTTTTAAATATTTTAATTTCATTGACATA